GTTGAGGTAAACCATTTTCGCCCCCTAACGAGCTGGAGGGTACAATGCCAGATAAAAGGCATTAGGCAGGACAGCTGTACTCAGCCATTTGTTTTATTTATAAAAAGAAAATGGTATCTATCTATCTATCTATCTATCTATCTATCTATCTATCTATCTATCTATCTATCTATCTATCTATCTATCTAAGCAACTGAGAAAAACGAATATTTTAGCACAAAAGTAGCACGACACCGAAAAAAATCATAAATAATGCTTGGTTCTGGGTTTGATCTTGTTCTGCTAAATGCACCAGCACTTTGTTTACAGTTTTTCTCAGTTGCTTTGGTGCATTTCTCACAACAGAATTAAACTTTGCACAACAGTTAGTTCAACCTCCACAACATGTAGTCGTTTTGGCACAACCTAGTGGCAGTTTCATGTTCATGTTCATTCTTGGTAAAACACATTGTAGAGTATGTTTTGTAGAATTACTAGTGTACTGCACGAAACTACAAAGTACTGTAAAGCAGTTTACAGTGCTGAACATAGAAGACCTGCTTTACCTGCACATATTGGTGACGGATCTCCTTCACCCTTTCACAGTTTCGTTCGAATGCCACTTTATACAATTGCTTCATGCGGATTTCATTTTTTTTTGAGAACTCTGTCGATTGTTGAAATTGAAACAGATTCAATATTGCCAAATACCGTGTTATTCTCTAAGACAGTGCTTTGCATTTCTCTCAACTTTATTGCATTGTTTGCAATGACCATTGCACAAATGGCTTCATCTTGCTGTGGAGTAAAAAGGGGCCCTCTTCCACCTCCGCGAGGTTGTCTTTCAATCCTATGTGGTGCAGAGTAAAATTACAGTAAAATTGAAAATACAGTACAGTAACATGGGATATGTATGAGATGGTACAGTACAGTACAGTAAATTACTGTATGCATACCTGTTTTCCCTACGGAATGTTTGAATGACTGAACTGACAGTAGTTCTTCCAATATTGGGTTGCACCCTCCGACCAGCCTCCTCCATGGTGAGGCCGTGATTGACAACATGGCCCACAATTGTAGCCCTAATTTCATTAGGAATGTGCTTATATCTGCCTCTTCTCCCCCTTCCCCTTCCCCTTCCTCCCCGCATCCTCACCCCTCTTCCACGATGCTGACCTTCCATTTTGTGTCACAGAAGTGTAGAAATGGTACACACTAGCTCCTGCTCAGTTCATTTATGCTTGCCAATGGAGGATTCACCTCCTCATGAGTGACAGCTGAAATTCACCTGTGATCAATTGTTCAATTTAGGAGACATTTCCAGGAAAAAATGATGAAGAAAGGTATAGAATTTGCTTGACAGATTACTAATATTTGACATTTGATAACTAGTTCAACAATTTTGTGTGTAATGACTCAAGTAATGAAAGTAAGACTATTAGTTTTATTGAGAGTGACTATTCAGCATCCATAAGTATAATTAATTTTGACTGACATGACATAAGCAAATGGAAATGTCAAAAAACAGCAGAGAAATGTATGAAAGCAACTGATTCATGTCCAAAATCATTTGCAGTTTGTTCAGAGAAAGGAGAAATTGCAACTATGACGTGCACAAATGACTAAATGTTGTGGAGGTTGAACTAATAGTTATGAGAATTTTAATTCTGATCTGAGAAACGCACCAAAGCGACTGAGAAAAACTGTAATATTTGACCGAAACTGTTCATAGCCTTGTGCAACTGGGGAAATACAGTAAAACAAACATTTTACAGCAAACATAAACTCACTCACAGTAAACCTTACTGCAGTAGTTATGAAACAAAAAAAAAAACTGAACAGACACAGCTGCAAATCAATAATTGATATCTAAATGCTCCCGTCTGTCTGCCCACATATTTTCATCAACATCACAGGGAATGTCAGCTCTATCGATGCATCGGGGAAAGTAACTTCTGGAGTGTCGAATCCACCCTCTGCAGCACTCTGCTGTGATGTCATCACAAGCTGCATCCATGGCTGCTAGCAGGGTCATTTGGGTATGTGGATGCCTGTCATATACCTTCCACCTCCAGGAAGAGGAAAAACTCCTCAATTGGATTTAGGAATGGAGTGTAAGGAGGAAGAAACTCCATAAGCATCATGTCGTGTGCTGCAAACCACTGCCTGACTACAGCAGAGTGATGGAAGCTAACATTATCCCAAACCACTACATACATTGTCCGATTGTCACCAGGACACACACCAATTTTCATTAGTATGAGATAAGGTTCACCTGAGAAAAGTCATTTATGGAGATTTCCATGGAAATTCCTTAAAAATAGGGTTTTCAAAATGGGTGTACAGATTGTTCGACAAGATGTTCAACAGTTTTGAGTGCAATGACACAAGCAATGAAATGAAGACTATTAGTTGTAAGGACAATGACTATTCAGCCGGTACAAGTATAAATAATTGTGACATTCATGATAAAAGCAAGGAGACAGTGATGAATAGCAAGTCAAAAGTGACCATTCTTTAGATATTTGTACTTACTCAACTGCTTCATGTCCAAAGGCATTTGCCACAAAATGAACATGAAACCGCCACTAGGTTGTGCCACAACGACTACATGTTGTGGAGGTTGAACTAACTGTTGTGCAAAGTTTAATTCTGTTGTGAGAAATGCACCAAAGCAACTGAGGAAAACTGTAAGAAGCTTTATTTCTGGAATTTATTTATTATCATTGTCATTAAATTGAAGTTGGACAGATGACTTGAAAATTCAAAGTTAAGGACTTGGACTTCCACATCATTGACATTGGACTCGACTTGGTTGTGATTAACTTGGACTTGACTCGAGACTTGACTGGAAAGACTTGTGACTATATTTGTTGTTTTTGTTTCTGATGTTAATAAGGAATGTTCATTCTGTCATAGTGAAGGTGAAAGTATTGGACATTTTTTTGTTGAATGCTTTTGGTTGGATTTACAAGGGCTTCTTACCACTAAAATTGGCAAAGACATTACACTCACAAAAATTCATATATTATTTTGTTTCCATAGTTCTTTTTTATCTACAGAAGAAATATATGTTGAAAATGTGTTTATTATATTAGCCAAATACTATCTACATGAATCAAAATGGAGAATTATATCTCCGTCGTTTACTAACTTCAAAGAATCCGATCTGAATATTTATTTTGTTTTTATTGCTTATGGCAATGTAAACAATCAGAAATATTGGAAAACCTTAAATTCTCTTAAGACATTTCATTTTATTTTATAAGCAGATTTTATTGTGTGTTATTTTTTTAAATAATTTTATGATTGTGTTTTTCAATTTTCATTTGTTGATTTTACTCCATAATTCTTTTATTCGTTTTTGAACGTTCTGAGAGTTTACTTGTACAACGTTTGTTTGTTCAACAAAGTAAAAATAAATAAACAAATAAATAATAATAATAATAAAAATAAAAAATAGAATTATCATTCCATTAGGTGGCGGTAATGCGCCAAAATCTCGCTCAACTGCCTCAAATGAAGAAGGCGAAGAAGAAGAAGGCGGAAATATCAGTAGAAAAAAAAGGCAGAAGCAGAAAGTTCAAATAGTGGTTGGTGTTATACTTTAAACATTCGGAGTTTTTACCTGTATCTTGTTGGTTTAATATTACCTAATGGTTTTCCGTGACTCGACCTTTATAAGTTTGATTTTTAGCGCTGACTTTTTCTATCCTGCTTCTTATTTCAGTGAAAAGATGCTGAGACGAGAAGTTTGAGACGTAATTAGCCGCCGGGCAACAGATGACAGAATAAATATGAATAAAGCTGTCGGTCACATCCATGTTGTCAGCGATTTTTAGTCCGGATCACGCGTCCTACAGCCCGGATAGCCTGTGTACCGCACCAGTGGGATCCCCAGCTTGGTTGGATGGAGCGCCCTCCGCGTGGAGAAGCGGGTTCTCGGTCTGACAAACGTAAAGGGAATGTTCCAGAAGCGGCAGCGACCCCAAACAGCGGGGCCGGTTCTGACCGGGGTATGCACTTAAAATCCATCACTCAGTTTCCATGGTAACCAAACACCGTAAACGTGCTCAGATGCGATAGACACAAGATTCTTGTAAAAGTTGATCTTTTGACTTTATAGAACTTAAATTAAGATTTCATGAACATTTGATCCATGATGAACATTTGTATTTATTTACTTAAGCAGAAAAACGGGTTGTGATGAAAGGGCTGTCCTCAGGAGGGCGCTGGAGCTGCATCTGGACTAAAATACCACTGGGCACTTTTCTATCATCTGCAATAACAAGTGGATATCAAACCACGAAGAATGCAACACCCACCCAACCTTCTTAGACTCCAATGAGGAGCCACTCAGTGTTTTTAAAGGATCTGCAAACTTTCAGGGTTTTCATTCAGAAAACCCAAAACAAGCATCAATAACAAAGCCGGGTCCGTGTGGGATTCAGGGATTACACTTCCTTTGATGCACCTGGAGATGGAAAATCATCAAACACAAACAAGACCGGGAGGAAAACCAGCACTTTTCCACTGTTAGTGGTTATGTTAAGCTTCTTGTCAAGTCAAAGAGCAGGAATATGGAGGCGATGATTTCTACATGTGCAGGGTCCTTTCGAGGCAACAAAACCTGTTTTTTGAAGAATTTAGAGGAAGTGTTTCTATTAAGTAACTCTTTTAACTTTATAGATCCAGCGCCTCCTTCTCTTACACGTCCTCCTTAATATTAAAATTCCCAAGAGGACAAAAAGAAAATCTAAGATTTTTTAAAAGCTTCAGTAAGAGAAGGCGGCTAAAATATTCCCTTCTAACTGGTTAAAATGAACAAAAGTGCTGAATCAGCTTTCAGACATTGGAGGTTGCCAGTACATGGCAAAGACACAGTACAAGCAACCATGCATGCACATTCACACCTAAGGACATTTTAGAGAAACCAACGTGACAGTCGTGCTTTTGGACTGTGCGAGGAAGTCGGAGTACCCGGAGAGAACCCGTGCGTGCACAGGGAGGACATGCAAACTCCTTGCAGAGAGACCAAGGTCTAGGACCTCCTTGCTGCAAGGCCTCCCGTCATCCCTTTTTTTCTAAATGCTGTTGGAAATCAGTGTTATTCTATTTTTTTTGCCAGCAGATGACACCTTCTTTCAAGGCAATAAAACTGGAAGTATAGAGGAGGTGTTTCCACTAGTGGATGCTGATGGTTTTATTAAATTCTTGGGATTATACGTCATTTGTCCTCTGCTTCCTTCATTAGCATCGTCAGGGCAGGAGCTGTTGACGCTGTGCTTTAGGACTGGAGGAAGAGGAGCGGGTCTGGGAGCGCTGAGACAATGGTGAGGCGATGATTCATGTTCAGTGACCTTCAGGTTCAGGTCTTCTGAGAGTGTGAGAAACGTGTGCATAAAATCTACTGTTCTGCTCAGCTGTTACAGTCCTTCTCACAGGAGGGAGATCAGTGCACAGCTGCCACCGACCACAGCAAACCCCCACAGGTCTGCTGCTCAGAGAGGTCCAGCTCATGTGGTGGTTCAGCCCGAGGCAGAGCCACCTGGTTGTCTGGGAGAAACAACCACTGATCCCATCAAGGTTGGCCCATTTGAACCTTAAACCAGTTTGTTGAAGTTGCAGTCAGAGTCTTCAGAATGGAGAATGTATGACTTTTATCTGACCTGCGGTAGATGAGCTCAATGAGCCGCCTCAGTTGGTAGAAATCAATAAATCAAGCCCGACTTGACTTGGGGTTACTGGTCTGTTAACGCTTGCCTTAAGACCATGTGAGCTGGATCATACAGGGTATCCGCGGGTCCTTAAAAAGTCTTAATATGTCTTAAATTTGCTTTTCCAAATTTAAGGTCTTAAAAATCCTTAGAAATGACAAATAATCCTTAAATACAGTTTCCAAAGGTCTTAAATTACCAAAGACCCAATAAAGATATTTTTATTTCTATAAAATTTTCATAAATTTCTAGTTAGTGTTCAGCATTTTTTGTGTATGATGTTGGCGTAAGCGGAACCGTACACATTCAGTTGGTTGTGAAGGGGGCTATTTTTAGATGAGCGCATTAGCTGGTTAAGCTAGTGGGAGCTTGCGCCATGGGGAAGCGCAAGTTTAATGGTAACTGGATGGCTAATCCCACGTTCGCGGCGTTCCAGGCAATAGCTGGAAATTATAGCTTAAATTTAATTTTAAAAAATTGCTTAAATTTGGTCAAAATGGCCTTAAAAAAGGTCTTAAAAAGTCTTAAATTTGGCTCCCTTAAACCTGCAGATACCCTGATCATAGCGGATGATGGTGGCCAGGCTCAGAATTCTGCGGGAGTTTTGAGAAGAGCTGATTCAGCTGAGGTGGTTCTGATCAGGAAGGTTTATGGATGTTGATTTTCTTCCTTTCACACCTGATGACCCAGCAGAAAAGTTTAATCTGCTCAGAGGAGTTTTTCTTCTTCATGTGTTAGTTTGCCTCTCTGTTCAGGTTCAGTCAGACGTAGAGGCTCGGGTGTCTCAGCTGGCCGACAGCCTACTGATGCAGCTACACACTAACAGGTACACACACACACACACGCACGCACACACACGCACGCACGCACACACACGCACGCACACACACGCACGCACACACACGCACGCACGCACGCACGCGCGCGCACACACACACACACACACACACACACACACACACACACACACACCGGTGCTGCTGATGATCAGAGGAATTCATCAGGCTTTTTCTGCCCTCTGATGAAATGTTGTGCTGTTCTGTACAAAGTGAGTCGCTGACTGACGATGAAGCATGGAACACGACGCCGACAGACATTAAAACCTTCATATGAAGAGGATATGAGTCATGGTTGCTTTGACGTCTAGATTTTGTTCTTTCAGAGACTGTCGTCCTCTTCAGGATGCCATGACTGCAGGTCCTCAGCTCCCGTCTTTACCCAGTTCCATCCCGGAGACGAGGGGAGACAACCACATGCTGAGGGGGATTGAAATGAAGATGCAGCGGATCGTAAGAAACCCATAAAGCTGCCGCTGACCCCACCAAGAACCTAAACCTCAAAGATTTAGTTTGACACAGAATCATAATTTAAAAGGTATGAAAACTTTGTGTTTTCCAGCAGCAAGAAGCCTCACCAGAATCCACCAAGTCTGCACCTCACACCCTTCAGAACCAGCCTGAGTACCAACAAGGCCACTTTCCGTCTAATCAAAACGAGTTCCCCCAGCCTTGTTCTGATCTCCGTCAGTCCCACCAACACCATCCTCACAGCATACATCCCCGTTTCCAGCAGCTGCCATCCAGTCCAGCGGTGTTCCAACAGAAGCCTGTTCCATCCCATAAAGTTCGCTGTCAGATCAGTGAGACTAACAAAGCCCTTCAGTCTCAGTCTGCAAGAGGTCAGCAGAGACCTGTTGGTCGGTCCGTGCTGGAGGAAGCTGGTCAGGTTCTGTTTCATGTTCAGAGACGGAAAAAGGTTCTGGAGGACAACCTGGAGACTCTGCTCAACGTGAAGAATGGAGAGATTCTGACCTGCCAGCTGGAAGCCCTGGCTGCTAACAGGTAGCTAATGCTAACAGTAGCTTTATTCTTCTACCTTCTCAGTGGCCTAGAGTGTCCACCCTGGGGCTGGGAGATGGGGGTCTGAATCCCAGTCGGGTCATACCAAAGACCCAGTGCCACCCTGCTTAAAGGGGTTGAATTGGGGGGTTAAACTACCAAATAGTTCCAGAGCGCGCGCGGCCACAGCTGCAGCTCACAGCTCCCCACGACTGCGGTCAAGTGAGCCGTCGTTCGTTTGTCCGTGGTCAAGTTAGTCGCATCTACAACTGAAGTGCACATTTACATGGTACTTTACGGTAATGCCGTCTCGCTGCTGGAGAAGAGCTGAGATGAGCGACAGAATGGGCTGAAATCAGGATGACAGAGCTGCTAAATGTGCCTTTTTGATACACACATACTAAATACCTCGAGTACTACCTTGTACCAAAATATGAACTACTTTTACTGTGTACTTTTTCAGTAATTGTCTTTCAAAGTATATCCAAAAAGCCAAAAGTGCTGTGTTTGAGATGGGATAAAACGGTACTTGGGAAAAAGGACACTATGCCACCTATACACACATACTAAGTACCTCGAGTACTACCTGGTACCAAAGTATGAACTACTTTTACTGTGTACTTTTTCAGTAATTGTACTTCAAATTATGTTCAAAAAGCTTACGTGCCGTGTTTGAGATAGGATAAAATAAGATTTGGGAAAACGGACACTAGGCCACTTATACATGCATACTAAGTACCTCGAGTACTACCTGTTACCAAAGTATGAACAACTTTTACTGTGTACTTTTTCAGTAATTGTACTACAAAGTACGTTCAAAAAGCCAAAAGTGGCAAGTTTGAGATAGGATAAAATGGCTTTTTGGAAAAAAGGACACTAGGCCACCTATATATGCATACTAAGTACCTCGAGTACTACCTGGTACCAAAGTATGAACTACTTTTACTGTGTACTTTTTCAGTAGTTCTTCAAATTAAATGGAAAAATCCCAAAGCTTTTTCAAAAGTTAAGAAAAATGTAATTTCCAAAAATGCTCATGCACATACATGCACATACACAGAGATACCATAAAACAAAACCGTATATTTACGTCATTCATCAAATTGTGGGTATAGTGAGAAAAAGGCAGTTCTGCATAAGGAATTACAATTACATTTATCGTTTTTGAAAAACTTTTTCTTTGTATCTCAAAAAAATGACTTTTTTTACTTAGTTTGAATTACAATAACAGGTAAAAGGAACAATAAAAGTAAAAATAGTACCACCTAGTACATTACTATAGAGTATGTATGTATAGGATGCTTAGTGTCCTTTTTTAAAAACACAATTCTATCCTTTATCAAAAAGGCACATTTAGCAGCTCTGTGTCATCCTGTCAGCCCATTCTGTCGCTGACCTCAGCTCCTCTCCAGCAGCGAGATGGGTGTTACCGTAAACCACCGTATAAACGCGCACTTCATTTGTAGGTGCGGCTCACTTGACTGCAGTCTCCCCACCCGCAGGGATGGGTCAAATACAGAGATGTAGCTTCACCAGTGTGATGATGGCTAATGGGACTTTAACTTCTGCTTGCTGACTGCAGATGTTAGCTCCCATGTAGCCTCAGAGCTAACTTTAGTTTGTTTCACTTAACACGCTGAGGCAACGTGCAGCAGGTTCTGAAAGTCTCTCCTGTTGTCTTTTTAACATCAGAGGAGAGGATCAGAACATTTTCATTCAGAGGAACAGAAAAACCTTGTAACAGGTCGAACGCTGGTCCTCCAACCAGAAATGTGAAGGTTTCATTCTGCTTTAAACTCAGGTTTTAATTTTTTATTCAGAAACAGAAACATTTCTTACTTCCTTGTGTGGTCCTGGATCTTCCATTGGAATAATTTACCTGGCACCCTTTACAAATATCTCTTCAACAATGGAAATAAGATCACTGACGGTAACCAGAGAAGGAGCTGGTCGTGGTTATTAGACTAGTCCCGTGTAGATGTTTGCTCTTTCTGGTTTCTGGGTCTAGTAGAAGTCCTCAGTCCCACCAGGAAACCCCGCAGGTGGAAGTCGGTAACAGCAGAAACCTCCTTTATGTTCTTTAGAATTCTGCAGAGAACAAAATGACTTCATGTTTCGTTTCTTCTTCAGAGATCCGACTAAAGAGGTTCAAATCAAAAAGACTGTAGATGCCTGGATTTCCATTTTAGACACAGAAGTCCAGGTGAGTCCTCATTATCGCCTTTGTCGGAGCGTCCACATGCGACGTCTGATGAAGGCAACAGAAAGGAGCTGACCCCTGGTCTGAAAACATCTACTGCCTCTCTTCTGCAACCATCTCGCCCCCTCTCCCCAGACTTGTAAGCTTCCATCTTCTGCTGCTGCTGGGAAGTCCTCGCAGGACGCGGTCCACCGTAGGTCTGCTGGTGCTGCTGCGTCACAAGTGAGGTCTGCAGGTAGAGGGAAACCCAGACAAACAGGAACCAGAGGCCTTAGAGCTGGACACAGAGTGGTCAGTACTGATTTCTATGAACTCTAAACCGTTTGAATGTTCTGGAGCCTGCTGCGGCTTAACTTTGTGACTGTTGTTCTTGTGCAGCTGCAGGAGGCCGAGCTGTCAGCAGTCACACCTAGGTCGATGGGCAGCCAGCAGGAAGAGGTGGATGCGGAGGTGTACCTGACTCGTTTGTATGGCAAGCTTCCATGTGAAGGTCTGAGACGAACCTTAAAGAAGAGCCCGTACCCTCGCTTCAGCTCTTCTGCATCCCCACTAAGCAAGAAGCCCCACCCCCGACTGGTAGAGAGCATCAGAGGTCAGGAGATGACACAAAAATCAGACGTCTCAGAAGTTCAGCTGAGGACTGTGTCCCACTTCCTGTCCTGTGGTCTGTCCTCTTCTGTCAGGTGTGAAGCTGAAGTCCCGCAAGACTCAGACAAGTTTGACTCCGCCCTTTTGCTTGCCTGCTGGACCACATCTCCACCACCGTATCTCAAGCGCCATCAACCCATCCTCACATGACCTCGCTCACATTACTGATGCTCCTGCTCCACACAGTTTCCCTGTTGCCATGGCGATCCCACTGGGTCAGTAGGTGCATCTACAGTGACCAGAACCCTTACTGACATAATCAGGATTGTAAATCTGCTTGTTTAAACAGGCTTCCAGATGTTTCTCCAGGTTTGTAACAGGTCTGACTCGTTGAATCCTGGAGTCATCCACGATCTTGTCCTTCTTGTTCTAGTTTTCAGAAGTAACCTTCAGTTCTCCGAACAAAGTAAATTAGCTGAAGGAGGTTTTTATTCAAAGACCTGTAATGTGATATTTTACACCTCCCATCAACGGTAGGCACAGTATGATTAAAGACTACCAATGGCACCATTAATATGTCATTTTTTATGGAACACACACACACACACACACGCGCGCGCACACACACAATGATATCAAAACTAGGTTTTTGTAGTGGAGGGAAATAGAGACTGGAGCACTCATCCTGGCTGCACTCTGGTAAATAAACTCACATTAATAAGCTAAAACTCATCGTTTCCTGCAGCTCCTCCCAGAATGGACTCCTCCAAGCACGAGTGTGCACAACATCCTGGTCCACTCTCTGCAAGAATGGTCAGCACGGAACAGGAAGCTGCTGAGCAACAGGTCAGATTCATGCAGATCGGATGGCGCTCCCAGCTGTTCGATTTATCAGCTGATGAAATGCAGCCTGAGCCATTCTGATGGCACTGGTTTTCTCTTCTCCTGTTGTTACCGCGGTAACCTGTAAGAGCTGTCAGGGCATTTCACAACATTAAATAGGAATTTTCTGATAGCCGATCAACTGAATCTCTTAGAGAAGTAAAAAAAATGCATGTTTTATAGTAAAATATTATTTTTTAACCAAGCAAATACAACTGGTTGCTAAAAAACGCACATTAGCGACATCATTTGTTGTCCAATCAGGAGCTAAAACTGCTATTTTGTTTATGTTGACAGCTGCGGCCGGGAGAAGAAAAGACTCAGTCTCCTCCACCGCCTACTGTGGATATCTTAGATGCTGAGGCCATGAGAAATCAGGACGAGGAACACGAGAACGTCCTCCCTGGAGATGATGTCAACCATCTAACCAGCCTGTGCTCCTCTGTCAGTATGCATCTCCCCCTGCAGGACACAGACAGAACAGCACATAGCTGTATCCCGTCGTTACCCAAAAGAACAGCTCCCGCCAGAGCTGAGAATCATAACAAGTCTGTTCAGATGTTAAATAATAAATAGCTGTTGATAAAAGCCTGCCCAGGGCATGTTTAGACCCCTAGAGAGTTTAGAGTCGAGCGCTCCAACTCTGGCCCTCGACATCCACCATCCTTCATGCTCCGTGGTGAATAACGAGCTTCTGCTGAGCTTGATGGGTCTGAATGATGGAAACGAGCATCTAAATAAAAACAACTCTAAGAGAAGATTTTGATTCTCCTACAACTTCTGGAGAATCTCCTTCCCAAGCAGGAGAGAGCAATGATCTCTCAAGTGTTCTCCTTTTGTGTCCTCCCCTAATTTTGCTTTAGGAGGAAGTCTGTGAGATTGGAGAGGAAGTGATGCTGTTAGATCAAGGTCACGGTGGTCCAGCCCTCCCACCACGTTCCCCGTCTCCCCCTCATGCCCAAAATGTGACCCCTGTCCTTGGGGTGAGCCAGCATGGTGCTCTGGAGACCCGACTGGTGGAATGGTGAAGAACTAGTCTAAACTGGATCCCACTGGTGGGTTTTTTCTGTTTTTTATTGATTGTTTGCTTTTAGGGTAAAGGAGCAGCTAATGTCCAGGATGTACTTTGATTTGCACCGCCCCCCCGTGTCTGACCCGCCCCTGTATCTTGCCGATTCAGAGGAACCAAGCCGTTCTTCAGACATCAGTAGGAGCAACAGAAAGATTCCTGTTTTCTTCTCTAGCTCGATCTGTCACGGATCGCCTTTTCTCCCTGACAGTCGTTGCAGCGGAAGCAGCAAGAGAGGACGGTCTGCAGCTGTTCGTTGACTCCAACACCCTGGTGGATTCAGAGTTAATCAGGCTGCTGGTTAACGAGGTTCTGACTGAGACGGTGGCCCAGGTTCTGGGTCAGAGAGACGCTTCAGCTGCTGACCAGGGACCTGGACTGGAAGTGCCACAATCAGGACTCGTAGCTGACGAGGAGGTACAGAAACTCCTTCTTAACTTGAAGGTCCTTGCTCTGCATTTTGCAAACCGCTTGTTTTGTGCCAGGAAAACCTGGAAGTAGCAGTCCCAACTCCAGCACCAACACCGCTGTCTGGTGTGACCCAGTCCAGCAGAGAGGCCACACCAGTAACCACTCCTCCTTCATCTGAAGCTCCCAGTCCGGTGACCAAGGAGCCTCTTCAGCCAATCACAGCACCAGGTTTCAACACCTTAGCGTTAACTTAGCATTGTAAAAGCACTGAGGACCAACCGTAGACATACTGGAGCATGACTGTGTCCAAACCTGATTAATGCTGGTTGTAATCTGATTACATATTTACAAACCTGATGTAATCGTCTTACAGTAGGGTACAATTCTCTCTGCTTTCTTGGTGCAATCCAGTAATTGTTTATAATACGATTAAGGTGTTGAATGTCTAATTACAGATTTAGCTATGTTTTTTTTATAGATAAACTCTGTTGTAATTTAATTGAATCGATTTTCTGGAATCGTTTTGCTCTCCCTTTGTGTGGTTGCGATCTCAGAGCCTGCAGCTACACCAACCCCCGGTTCAGAGCACAAAGGAAGTCCTACTGCTCATCAAGCCCAGCCACAGCTCACCTGGGGAGACCCTGAGTGTCCGCTAGAGGAGGAGAGACCAGAGCAACAGCTGGATCCAGACAAACAGCAGCTGTAGGTTCAGACTCGCATCAGTCAGGTGGAAGTGAGCTGTGTGATGCGACCAAAATCTCCTCTGTGATGGGAGCCATTTCTATCCTTTAAACAAAATTTATTCCTGCCCGTTCTGATGTGTTTAGCTAAGTCCGGTTATTGCTATCTCACAGTTTAAAGTTAAAAGCCAGTCTCTTTTATGATAAAGTGTGAAAAACACATAGATTTTTCCACAAAAATCCAGATGTGTTGGATTACTGTGGTGGAAAAAGTAAATCTTACTGAGTGCCACTGGTGACCAAGTTCACAGAGAAACCGTTTTTTACTTGTTTTTTCTGAAATATGATCATTCACTCCGAGTTAAACGTGAAAGTACTCCTCTACCACTATTTCCTGCATTAGCCACTGATGGGCAAACGCGTGGACTAGAAAAGCCACTCAGACCTGCGTCACACTGAAATGTAACAGTCGTGGACTCACCTGTCTTGACTCGCAGCAGCGAAGGCTGTTGTTGATTTAGGGTCCAGCAATTAGCATAGAACTTCTCAGCTAGTAGAAGCTAACCGTTAGCATTGATGACTCCACCACACAGCGGAGCTCCTTCAGGCTTTTGTTATTTATAGAGTCAAAACTTCAATGTTGCAAAAACAAGATTCATTGGAATTTACATTTAAAAATAAAAACATAAAATACAGTGTAGAGCAGTGGACCTCAAATGGCGCCCTGCGGGCCACATCCGGGCAGCAGACATTTCCACCCCCCACAGTTCAGGTCCCAAATATCAATAATTGTTTATATTTTCCAAACACAACTAAAACTACAAACAAGAACAGTTTAGATGGAAAAACAAAGCCATTTTAAATATTAATAAAGTAGGATACAATAATACTTGCCTTTTAATTTAGAAGAGGATCTGGCCCTCACGGTGTCTGCTGGAAAAAAATGTCCTGAACAGATGTAGTTGAGGACCCCTGGAAGGAGAAAGGAGTGAGTGCAAATTCAATAACAGAAAATGTGCTAATAAAATCACAAGGAGGCTAATTCTGTTCACTGGTTTTGCTGGGAGCAGTGGCGGTTATCAGTTCTATCAGCTGCTGGGAAGATAGACCTATGATACGGTTCCTTCATGCACCTTATGGGCCATTCCCATCTGTACCGGGTCGGCCCGGGCCGGGTAGCCCCAGTCGGCCCCAGCCTGGCCCGGTTGATTCCACACATCCTTGTCTTAAGCCCATGTGGGCTGATTCTACCCACCAATCAGAGGCTTGCTCTAATGGAAGGTGTGAATTTGCTGTCAGCAGTGGGTGTGTTGGCCCTGGTCGGCCTGAAGCAGACCCCCTCGAGAAGAGGGCTGAGAATGAGCCTTGGTTGGCCCGGAAAAATACCAGGCCACCCAGATATGTAAACAACCTACGCTACCCGGCCCGGGCCGACCCGGTACAGATGGGAATGGCCCATAAGTTGCAGCGGTCTGCCACTGAAGGGAGCTCCAGAACACATCTTGCACTGGATCAAGGTGAGGACAGAGCTCTCCTGTCTCTCAGAATCATATAACCTCCCAACAAACCACATTTTAAACAATGTCACCACTGAGTCACTGAAGGTCCTTCAGACCTCAGTAAATGAAAACTCTTCAATGATCTAAATTCTTCCATTACATCCAGTCACCAGTGACCCAGTTCTTTCCTCTACATGCTGCATCACATCGTGACATGCTGAGGACTGATCAGTAAATCCTGCATGAAACAGTGAATTTTGCAACAGTTTGAAGTTTCATTGGAACAGATGGTGGTCTTTAGTCACCTCACACAGCTCTAGTAGGAGGTTTCTCAGACCGCATGATTTCTTCTAAACAAACTTCCTCTCTTCCTCGGGTAGGATCATGTCAGTAACAGAGGAGGAGCCTCCTGTCTGCTCCCCGGTTCCTCCTCCTCCTCCTTTACAACCTGCTCCACTTGAATCCAGGCCTGCACCCCCCTCCAGCTCTGCGGAGGACCTCAGCTCCAGCATCTCCAGCAGCTCCAGCATCACAGCGACAGCAGAGACTGAAGCAGCACTGAAGCACATCTCAGAGGCAGAGGTGCTCATCGGTGTTAAACAGCTGGGATCTTTAATGGGTATCATCATCATCCTCGTCTTGTTCTTGTGAAAAAACAAATTCTTTTTTATTTCACAGATGATTCATTCATCTGCCCATCCATTAATTATCCATTTATCAATCATTTATCAATGAATTCATCCATCCATCCACTGTCGATACACGTGTGGCCGTACTTCGCTGCTCGACTACCTGGTTTGGATGGTTTTCCATTAAAGGAGCTGCATCCTGCTGTTTTAGGCCTTCCACAGCAACGGAAGGCACAATATACTGTATGATAAAGCTGCTTTGCATGTTGGTCTAGCCACGCTCCATCAGAACCTCCGCTTTTCCTTCCAGTCAAGTTTGATCACCTTCTCTTGTTCTTGCCTTTCAGAAGAGGAGGGCGTTTGCAGCTTCTCCAGTTCTCTTCACGAGCTGCAGGACATGGTGAGGAGTGTCGGCCACTTTTGTAGGACGTAAAATAACAACAGGTCTTCCTGGACAGATCATATGATTTAAATCCCATACATCCTCCACAGTCACCTCTCACATGGCGCAGTGCTGCTGCTCTTACTCACACCCTGGTCACTTCCCGTATCAGTTACCAGATACATGTGTACTTCCATACCGCTGCACTTTTAAACATTTACGTTTTGAGCCATGACTTTAATTGTGTTTTCATTGTAAGGTGACCTTGGTTGTCCTGAATGACACCTGTAATAAATAAAAATTGTTAATAATAATAATAATGATAATAATCCAAAAGGTGATGAAGGAGTTGCACGATAGGTTGAAAGGTGTTTGACCCTGCCGCACTCTGACTCCTCTAGGATTTTGACCCCAGCGCTCTTGAACCGGTCAGAGGTCACAACCTTCTGCTGACTGTGTTGACCAAGATGGATGAGGGTGTTGCACATAGAGGGGAGAGGTTGCAGCCTGAGGTGAGAAGCTGAAGCAGAACTCGTTACCCTGACCTAACAAACCATGAGCCAAAGCATTTTTCAAACAAGTTATTTAATTGTGAAGATGTATGTGAGATGTGTATTCATCAGGGTTTATATATCAATGTGTTCTCACTGTGAGGTGTGATTTTAGGGCTCCTGGGGGAGGAAGGAGGAGGAGGAGGAGGTGAGCGTGGGGGAGGTGAAACCTCTTCAGGCCAAAAATTCACTGTTGCTGGGTTCAACCAGCTCTTCTGGAGAGATCAGCCCAGCTGCAGGTACAAAAGCCTGTTGCCCACATTGGGTCTGTTGTTAGAACGTTAGGAGCAGGTGAATGGAGTGGTGAGCTATCTAGACCTGTCCTCTGCGACTGCTGAAGAGAGGCGCCAGCGTGCTTTCAAGTAGACAGGACAGTGATTATTAATCAGTAACCATCATTACATATTCAGCAATGTGTGTTAAAGTTGGGAGAAGTTCAAAGTCTGCATGTAGATATTACCTTTAGGTCTGTGTGTATTCCTCTATTTCTGAGCAGAGTCACGTTTCAATTGCTTAAAAAAATCTTTTATTTTTCAACCAATCAGTTTTGTTTTGTTTTGTGAAGCTGAAGGTGAAGAGGAGGAAGATATTCACCCAGCCTGCACCGTACCCCTGGAGGACGGAGGGGTGGCGGGAGGGGAGAGGGTCGGGGCGCCACCCGGTGCTACTTCAGAAACGGACTCCTCCACCACCGATGTGTTCTGATTCAACTGGACATGTTTTCATTTCCATTCAACACCTGTCTTATATAAGCAACAAAAGCTAAAGACTCATGGAGCAGCAGCTGACTCGATTCAAAACATGTCCATATAATGTTACACTTTTATGTAGCTAATTTATAGTTTGTTAAATGTTTTAATGCTGTTTCTCCAACATCTTACTAAGTGTTTTGGGATGTTTTGTGATTGCAGTGGATATTTTTCTCTAGAGTTCATGTTCACAGTAACAATTTATTGTCAGTAAAAGAATGATTAGCAAGACATAGATCAAAAACACTTACAGAATAACACCAAACTCTGCAAAGATCTCCGGTTTTATTCACAGGTTGTTAAATAAAAATAAACTGAAGAATTTATGCTGCTTTCTTTATTTTGGGATGCCATTGTCAGGACCGTGACCCAGGGGTTTGAGGTAAGGGTCAAACAGCGAAAGTGTGTCATGTGGATGCTGCTCATTCAATTCAATTCAAGTTTATATAACGCCAAATCACGACAAGAGTCATCTCAAGGCACTTCACATAATAAACATTCCAATACAGGTCAGTTCATTAAGCCAATCAGTAAAAAGTTTCCTATAAGGAACCCAGCAAATTGCATCAAGACTTTACAGCAATCCTCATACTAAGCAAGCATTTAGCAACAGTGGAGAGGAAAACTCCCTTTTAACAGGAAGAAACCTCCAGAGGATCCCAGCTCAGTATAAGCAGCCATCCACCACGACTCACTGGGGATCGAGAAGACAGAGCAGACACACAACTACACATCCACACACACAACATATGTACCAAGTAGTGTTTCTATGGTTACATTGTGATTTCTTAATAAATATTTTATTTGGCGAGAGATAAACTTTATTGTATTTATCCTAGTGAATCTATAAAGGGTAACTAGTAGTAGCACATTCAATGTCAAATAAAGTAAAATGTTATTATCAGGAGAGGGAGAATGATTAAGTGGTTAGCAGCAGTGTGCTAGTCGATGGCCCCCTCCATGAGGGCACCACAGCTCAGCAGAACATCATTGTAGCTTCTGAGGAGAAAAACACTTAAAAAAAATAAAGTTAACAGCTGAAATAACGGGAAATAATACAGTTAAAGAGCAAATTGTAGAAGAAAGTAGTCGAGTGTGGTAAGTGGTCAATATGTCCTCCAGCAGTCTAAGCCTATAGCAGCAAAACTACAGAGATAACTCTGGATAACCTATCCTTTTAAATGGAGACATGTTCGAGGCAGGGCATGGGAGAGTTGTCTTTACCGACTGTACACACCACCTCCCTCTACTCCCCCACTTGTCCAGATTTAGGCTAACATCAGATTTTAACTATAGGCTCTATCAAATAAAAATGTTTTAAGCCTAGTTTTAAAAGTAGACAAGGTGTCTGCCTCACGGACTAAAGCTGGGAGTTGGTTCCACAGGAGGGGAGCCTGATAACTAAAAGATCTGATTCCCATTCTGTTTTTAGAAGTTCTGGGAACCACCAGTAAACCTGCAGTCTGAGAGCGAAGTGCTCGGTTAGGAACATATGGAACAACCAGGTCACTGATGTATGATGGAGCTTGATTATTAAGAGCTTTATATGTGAGAAGGAGGATCTTAAATCTATGGAACATCGGTGTCAGAAACCATACTGATACAGGGGAATGCCTCAGAGTCTATCCATCAGTAGTGTAGGCCCTCTTAAAGTGCACAAAGGCTTTTGATTTGCACTGAATAACAGCAAGCATCTAAAAGTGCTGTCAGAGCAACCTCTACATGAAGCTCCTGTTCTGAGATCATCAATGGCAACACCAGTGCAGTACGAGCAGACTTGCCATGGCACTGGGAATAGACATGGTGAGAAACTTTGGTAAGCTGTTCATGTTTTAAAATCAATTTAGTGTTACGGCACTTTAGTTCATCTCTGAGGTACTGGAAAGTGCTTTATAAATAATGAGATGATGAAATCTCATGATTTTGGACCTGAGGCTTTTAAACTGAAAATTGACTTTGAATGTTGTACTTGGTTTAAAAGAGGAACTTTAACCAGGAGTAAATCCAAACCAGAAAGTTGAGACACATCGGCAGCGGAACAGGCACTGACTGATATTTTTAACGTCACAGTTTGATAAATGATAAATTTTGAAGATGTAACCCAGAAGCTAGAACCTTAATGAGGTATTAACTAATTGGCTTACTAATATGATCCATCCTCAATTTAGATAAAATATAAAATATAAATTAAGGAAATTAACAATACTAATTAATAGATATCTAATTAACTAATAGATAATTTCATAATGAATTATTGGAAGGGTGAATAACTAAAATAACGAGTTTAATATTAAACATCGGTTAAAACAAGAATCTTGAACATCCCTAACAGAAACAGAAGAGGAAAGCTGTATACTATTGGTCCAGGTGGGAATCTGAAATTTCATTGGCTGAGAGAAATAAGTCCCGCCTCCGCGAAATAAAACCGTGCGACGCAGCTGAGCGAGAGGAGAGACAAACGGCTGTGCAGCACGCAGATACAGAAAGCAAAGACTGAGCGGTTAGAGAGAGAGAGAGAGAGAAAAAAAAAACAACGGTCGAGGCCGTGAAGAACCCTGATTTGGGTGCCGCATAGATAGAGGGAGAGGCGGACTTGACTCCTTCTAATAAGAGCTAGGAACTTGGAACCAACGCGGTGAGTAAAGAAAAAAGAAGAGAAAAAGCTAACGATGCAACTTAAAAAAAAAAGGAAACTTAAATAGCTTATCAAATTAATTCCATTCTTATAGATTTGTGTGGAGACGACAAAGTGAACCAATCCTCTGTAGGAGGGAACCGTTGGAGCGCGTTGGTGAGTGAATGAGATTAAATTCAGTAAATTATTAAATTCAAAAAGCTAATTACAGCAACCGAGGTGACAGCAGTGGGCTGCTAGACGTTAGATCCCAGGAGTTAACATCTCAAACTACCAGTTAACGGTGGTAGGGCATATAGGAGTTAACGGCTCAAACCGCCAGTTAACGGCGGTACGGCATATGGGATTCCCAGGAGTTAACGGCTCAAACCGCCAGTTAATGGTGGTACGGCCTAGATGTACAAGGTCCTCAAGGGCGTTATAGCTAACGCCATAGAATTAGCAATGCGTCCCTTAACCAAACATTTAATAATAAAAAAAATAGATAAATAAAAATAAATAAAAGCTAACTGATTAGGGAGGAATTATTTTACAAAGGTGGACCAAAGGACCAGAATTTATATTTTGTTGAATTTTGTTATAGAACATTTTATTTATTTATTTACTTATTTATTTATTTATTTATTGTGTTACAGATATACAAGGTGTCACAATGCTGTATAGAAACACAACTAAATGTATCCTTGTTGTCATGAATGTATTTCTTGTCGAATAGTGTAGAGTAATAGAATCTAACTGAGCCTATTGAGCTGAACAATTGTTGTCATATGTAATTATATTTCCAGAGCTACTGAGAATTATTTTAATAGACAATCAAATTGATGTTATGTTAGTTGAACTGTGAACCCAAACATGATTGGCTATGCCAATAGAGTGAAGCATTTGTTTAAGTCTGTAAGACTTTATGCTGTGATGTGACGAGAAGGGTCGATGCCAACTTGCTAACAGTCCTGTTGTTTACAGGCTGGGTTTTTTTTTTTTCTTGGGTTTGATCCCGACTCCTATGATCACTCACTTGGAACGAGAACTGGATTTCTTCCTGACGAGGGAGATGGCGAGCCTTAACCACTGAACGGACCAGGACATCTCAAGTAACTGAAGAGCAGACTGCTCTCTTCTGTGAACAATCTCAACGGTGTGGTAGGAAAAAATCGCACCACCGGACTCTGACTTTCACCCCAAGCGTGGGGATTTGACTTGACGCCGGCTGACTTGTGACTCATATGACCAAATCTCATCCCGACCATTTTACTATTGTCGATTGTTTTCATCTGTTTTTGTGTGTTATCTTTATGTGTTATATTTCCCATTATTATTAAAATTTAGTATATAAACCGTTTCATGCTATACCCGTGACTCCAGTCATTCTTAAACAACCTCCAATTCTCCCCGAACCTAATTATTGGCCCATTTGTTTATTTTTCTTTTAATTATCTTATTGTATCCTGTAATCCGGTTACATAAAACTTGGCGAGCCAGCCAGGAGAATTGTAGAGTTGTTACCTTAGCTAACCATTGACTGACATCATAAGAGTGCCTGGAGGTCACAGTGGTTTGCCATTTTGGCATTATTGGTACTTTTGAGTGTTTTAAAATGGAAGTTGTGAAAACAGAAAAGGTCAAAGTTTCAAATGCTGTTTTAATCAGTGGGTTAACTGATACAGACCTTGATAACGAAGTCTTTGGGTTTATGGAAGGATTCGGACCAGTTAACAGGCGCATTAAGTTACCAAACTGTGATCAGATTATTGTGGAGTTTCAACATGAAGCCACTGTTAAGGAATTAAAGAAACAATGTTTACCCTATGACAAACCTTGTACTAGGAACCCAGATGTTTTCTTCCATATTCAAGACCTAGCCAGCGCGTACAGTCTAGAAACTAGCACATCTGCCACTGATGCCTATCTGTCAGAGCTCAGGGACATAGCTGCGCGTAGCAATCAATCATTTAAAGACCTTCTAATGGAGGAACTGGCAAAAATTGGGGAATCTTTAGGAAGGGATACCCATGCATCTGAACCAGTCACTGAACCAGAGCCAATGCTCCATAGTGACCAAGTTACATATTCCCTGCCTTTAACACCAGAAGTTAACTATATGAACAACTCAAAGGACAATTGTCCACCTACAGAGACTGGAAAACAAAACCCTTGCATTCCACCAAATCTTTTAAACACACCTGAGGTTCAGCGAGTTATTGTGGAACACATTGTTAAAAGCAGTGAGGTTATCCCTCCGCCTACTTCACAATACAGACTAAAACCGTTCTCAGGGCGAGTTCCACACCCTTCTTTTGAAACTGACTATGATACTTGGCGTAGTAGTGTAGTGTTATGCATAAATGATCCTTCACTCACCAAGTCCCAAATTGTACGAAGAATCGTGGAGAGCCTGTCAGCCCCAGCAGCGAGCATCGTTAAAGCTCTTAGTCCAAAATCCGACCCGGAAACGTACCTTGAACATCTCGATTCAGCTTACGCAGCTGTCGAAGACGGCGACGAGCTCTTTGCTCGCTTCTTAAACACAAACCAGGACAGTGGTGAAAAACCTTCCGATTACTTTCAGAGGTTATACACCTTGTTAAACCTAGTTATTCAGAGGAATGGAATTTCCTCCAGTGACGCCGACCAGCAGCTGCTCAAGCAGTTTTGCAGAGGCTGTTGGGACAGCTCGCTGATTTCAACCCTGCA